TAAGTGACCTAGAACTGAATAGTGCTTCATTAAGACAGAGGACCCCAAATTGATACAGTAAACTTCATTATATATATATATATATATATATATATATATATATATATATATATTTTAAGATGTAGGCCAGTAAGGCATGTTTGCAGTTAATCTGTTCTGATGAAATGTCTGCTGCTAATGGAAAACTTAAATCTCTGCCAGTAAATCATTTTTCAACTCCCTGCATGTTGCCTGTTATATTATGACAGCAGCAAATGTAGCCCAAAATAGGTATATAAGCGGATCAAAGTAGTTGTATAGTAGTAGTAATTTCAATTTCAAGTATTGTGAGCTCTCCGGGTTAATAATAGAACGCAAAACTCATTTAAGTTACAAACAACAGGCTTGCAGGTTCATGAAAGGAAGATGAAATCACAGCAGAACAAAAAAAGGGTTGGCTAGTATAATGTTGTAATGACATCAGTTACCCTGCAGTCATTTTAGAGGTAAAAAGGTCATATTAGAAAAACAAATCTAAGAATACTGCATCTTTTAACAAGTGATTTAAAAACATTGATATAATGTATGATTTTGTGTGTTTGGAGTGTGTATTTTTGGTTGCACCTATCAAAGTACAGTTTTGTTGTAAAGCATCTTAGCGATTATAAACAAATGATTACACACACTGTTTAAACTCATGGCAGTTTTATCACTATCACTGACTTAAAATCAGACTACATTTTTCCTATATTGGGTCAGTTAGGTTTGAATAACCCAAATGATTGGTATTAATAAAATAGTAGAATAATGAATGTGAGAAGTGTCATGTATAAATTTAAATTCAGAAGCTTTTTAAGCTGCTTCTGGAGAAATGTCTTCTATCTTTCCATGTGACCTTTCAGCCATGATGGTCTCTTATAGCTTAACTAAGCTTCATCCAGCAGATAGACATGCTCTGTTTTTATTCTAGGGTAAAAAAAAGAACACATTTCTACATTACAATAAGATATATTCGTTTCTGCTACATGTAAACATTTAAATTTTTTTTCTTGAATATTATGATGGATGGAAATTTTCTATATTTTATTATAAAATTGTAAAATAAATAGGTATTTTTTAAAACTGGTTAAAATACACTGTTTTTAAAACCAACCAAGCAAACTCATCTTTATTTTTTTTTTTTAAAAAGCAAAAATTATTTCATGCCTAAAACTAATAAACCATCCAAAAAACGGTGTAATTACGTTAATTTACTTTTTTTCTTTTTAAGTGGAATTGCTGAATTTTAGTCACACGCAGAAGACAATATCTCATATTCAATTTATTGTTCCGCTCAGCTGCAATGTTTTAATTGCGTTTATTTGAGCCCCCGTTTTTTTGGACAGCATTAGGAGTTAAATGTTTAGCGAAGCTATAAGCTGGAATGATGATGTCCTGATCTTCGCATGCAGAAGATGGGAGCTGCTGAACAGTGAAAGCGCTCAGACTGCCTGGCGACGCGCGTCGTGACTTTCCAGGCTGCTCTGCCTCCGTCTCGATTTCCTCCACAGTTCATCTCCTGATCCTCCAAACATTCATCATGATCCACCTGCTTCTCCTCCGCTTCCTGCAGCACAGAGGTATGAAACGCTTCACACCTGCAAATATCTGATACCGCTGTTAGTGAAGAGAGTGTTTTGAATCTATTCTGTTGTATTTTTCATATATTTCCGTTGTGAGAGCGGTGATAGATGATGATCTCTGTAGTATTTGGACCCTGACATTGGTGGTGGGATGCAGGACTGACATGCTGCTGCTAGCCTTTCTCTCTCCTGTTTGGTTGCCGCAGATCTTTGCGTTTTGCCGCACGTATGCAAAGAAGAATCTGACATTAAGATGATCCTGATCTGTTTTCGTGGTATAAGTCATATACTGT